TGTGTGTGTGTGTGTGTGTGTGTGTGTGTGTGTGTGTGTGTGTGTGTGTGTGTGTGTGTGTTTGTTGTAGAATACCTGACCGGACTGATCTATGGAGGCAATCTGCTGGAAGACGGCCGTACCCTGTTTAAATATGGATTCAGGCACAAGTCAACCAAGGACTGGACACTAAGTCCTTGGTGGGGATTGATGGATCCTGAGGAGGGAGATGGTGGAATGGGTGACAAGGGGGGCACAAACAGAAGTATGGAAAAGCTCTCTTTTTTTTAAACCTACTCTGAATTAGAATAAGACATCAGAGCTGCACTTTTAACAGTTTGCTCATGAACCACTGTGCTGTGATTTTGGTGTAAATAGAAACCTAATCTCCTGTAATAGTGTCTGCTGTTTGATGTACAGAGAAAGTAGAAGGGTGTGCCTTGAACTAGCTTTTAATCTGGTTCAAACTGGTGTAATAATGTAATATGTTTCCCCATTATGAGAATAATATTGCATTAAAGTAAGCTAAATATATTGTAGAATAATGTAATAAATTCAGCACATAGTATAATCATTTAAAAATACTCTCCTTAAAGCAAAGGGACCCTTCTAGTTTTACATGACATACATGGAGTCTATAATTTATTGAGAACATGGATTAGTTTCCAGTACGCAGGAAACCACTCCATGTTAACGACTGAAGTCAGGGATCAGACATCAGCTGGAGAAGTGAAATCAGAGACACCTCCACTTCCTCAACCAGCAGCAGCAGAGTCGTCTCCACAAGGATTAATACTGAGGACCTCCTACCAGACAACAAAAGAAGGCACACAGATGAACTGCTAAATGTTCTCGTCACGTCAGCAAAATGTTGTTTATTTTTCTTTTACTGTTGTATTAAGTGATGTGTAACCAACTGACATGGCTGCAAACTATTAACCAGTTTACACAAATAATTTGCAATAATCCAGTTTGCTTTTCAGTCCCACATGTCTGCATGCAGCAGCACAATGTTAGATGTGCACTCTGCAGTGGTTAAAGTCAGTGTGTGTTTTATTTTCCTGTAATGACTACAGTGTCTCTCCATGTAATATTCTGTTCTCTTATTTGTTGGACTTGCAGCGGTTCAACAGGCCTTTTTCACAGCAGACATTTTGACTTGTCCAAAGTATGAAAAGCACAGGTCTCACTAATGACACTAACGATGGCTCTGTTCTGTTCAAGTGTCCCAGTGAGAGAGAGCCAGCATGCACAATACAGGATCCTGAAATCAGAGCAGCTAAATGGAATTCAGCCATCGTTCATTTAATCATTTACACCTGTGATTTTCCTAATGTCTCAACCTCACCACCAAGCTCCTCAGGACAACAGTGCCATAATATTGCCATCGATGTCACGATGAAATTCAAATAATCTGTCCAGTCATGATCTTGTATCTATCCTCTTACACTTTCGCTCTTGGTGTCGTTTCTTTCGGATCTGCTGTTTTTCCCATTTTGGTTCGAATTGAGCTCCTTGCATCCCTAAAATATGTGTAATTTTCTCCATCACAAACATTCCCTGGTGATCAAGTTACTATTAAGCTGCTGTTTAACTTTGTACAACATAGAGGAAATGTATTCACATGCATCCACCTGTTTGACATCAAATAGACGCTCTGCATTATTTAAAGGGTAAACTTTATTACGTGATACAGTTATCAATGATGAACAGAGATCAGTGCTAACTTTCAGTGGCAGCGTCACAAACCAGCCTTTTACGACATCACGAGAAATGCAGTAGATATGTTTAATGCTCACAATGTTATAGAACAAATAAGCTAAGTCTAGACTTTGAGCTTCAGTTGCAAATAGAATCTTAGAATAAAATCCAACAGTGGAAGAACAGCATATAGTGTGACAGAAGAAGGCAGTAAGACACATCATGAGCAGTGACCGTGTGCACATTCGCTCCTATTTTCTGCGCCACACAGGTATGGAGGTTTGTCTGGGAGCTACGCCATCACTGCAGGCGATGAAGTAGGAGCTCGTCTCCAGGCACTTAGGAGTGAGCTTCAGACACACGAAGCAGAACTCAACCAGGCAGCGAGGGCAGATGATGTTCTTGCAGCCCGTTTTGTCGTGCTCCACCTTCTGACCGCAGGTGGGACAGGCCCGGATGGAGGGGCACGCGTCGACCCCCTCAACCTGATCGAGGACGGCGGTCCTGCAGGTCCTGAGGAGCTCGAGGTCGTGGTTGACGCAGCCGTAGTTGTCGCAGCGGTCGGAGCGCGGAGCTGCACCCTTCCATTTCTTCAGACACTGCCAGCAGAAATTGTAAACTTTCTGCTTGTCTGATGTGCAGACTGTGCACTGCACGTTGAGGTTACTCGGGTCCTCTCTCTCCAGATAGGTTTTACACCCAGGACACTGTGGGAAAGGACGTGAGAGACAGTAATGGAAAAGTGGAATTCACTTATTTACTTTAGAGTTAGATGAGAAGATTGATACCACTCTCACATTTGTCAGGTAAATATGTAACTTGAGACAACACCCCTTTAGCTTAGCTTAGCATGAAGACTGGAAGCAGGGGGAAACGGCTAGCAAGGCTCTGACCAACTGTAACAACATCTGCCTTTCTGCACCTGTAAACCTCACCAATTAAAATGTTTTATCTATTTTGTTCAATCCTAACAAACACTGAAGAGTAAACATTTTAATAGGGTGATTTTTCTGCTATTTTGACAAGCCAGGTATCTGGTTTAAATGTGCTCGTGTATATATATATCATGACTGGCGTGGCATCAAACTTCTCAAACTCTTCTGTGGATTTTTTTCTGTTACCTCCATCTGCGTGATTGCTGTAGTAGAAACAAACAATCTGTGCTGAACTCATAAGTAAATCAGTCTGTAATTTGCTGAAGGTGGAGACGACACCGGTGACACTTACTGTTTTAAACTCACAGTACTCTGTGGCAGCCAGACGTGCAATGTTCTCCTCAAAGTACTGCATCTCTTCGGGGGTCAGCACTGCCAGTCTGCGCACCTCTTGATAAGACCAGTCTTCATCACACTTATGTAATGTGTCGACCATTAAAGCAGGGCACTTAAATTTGTACTGGCCCTGAAATTTAAAGGACACATGTTATATTGTCAGTCAAACCTGGTAAAAACTGTCTGGGAGTGCAACTTAAGAAAGGTGTAATTCAGTATAATAAGCCGACGACATCCAGTCTGGACAAAGGTCACACATACACACTGAGGAAAATACACTTTTGCATGAAAGTGATGTGAGGAAGCCAGTGTTCCTCTGTTAATTTGAAGGGAATATGTGTCAAAAAGTAGTTTAATAAGTTGTCAAAATGGGCTCTATTTTATTGCCGGTGAATGGTAGTGGAGGAAATAAGTTATTCTTAGGAGACTGTTTGAAAACTCCTCTGACATGGAGTGAAAACGCACCTCTGTGCTCTGTCACTGAGATGGTGGAAAGTACCTGATCCAGCAGGCTGCGGCACCACCCGGTGAGAGACTCCGGGGTGACGGCATGACCGCATGACATCTCTGCTCGGAGACACTTGTCTCCCTCCTCTGGTGCTGGGGAGCACAACAACAAGAGCAGACATTGAACTCACCATTACAGTCGCATCCAACGCGGAGGGGAAAAAAATAAGATAATAATTAATTAAAGCTTCGCATCCGGATCTATGTTTACATACAAACAAAGTAGAATACGTGCAATTCGTTAAGTTGATTAATAACGATAACCAATAAACGCACCGCAAAACATGAATCAAGAAGATCTTGCACATATTCGACAATATAATTTATTTATTTATTGGTGCTTACGTAGTGGATCCAGATCATCTGGTCTGTTCACAAACTTCAGAGTGGTGTCTTTGGGGTCGTATCTTTTCTCCCCCTGATTAGTCATTTTTGTTTCAGCTCCTCTGCTCCCCGTTGACAAAACTGCTTCTCTGTCTGCTCTGGTTGCGCAGTTAGAGGAGGTGAAGGAGGTTGACTGCTGTGTCACATTCACTGACTTCTTTTTACTTTCACTTTCCCCCTTTCGGTAGTTACAAGAAGTCACGTGAATGCAGATCTGGATTCCCCTTCTATTACTTGCATTCCATTTGAATGACCTTATTTTATTTACGCACACTGTGCACAGCCTTTGGTTTGTGGCCTTTCTGTACATAACGTATCACTTTAAAATAAACACCGTACGACAGGTTACCTATTCTGATCAATCAATCAATCAATTGATAAACATTTTCACAGCAGCTTCTTAAGACAACCAGAATGAGGAACAGCTGGTAAACAAGATGCCAAACCATGTAGCTGGAGTATCAGGTGATTCCCAGTTATCAACACCAGATAGCGAAACTGAATAAAGAACTGCATTGAAATATAGTTTTTTTTTTGGCTGTAGAATGGAAATGCTGCTCAGGCTTTAATGATGGAGACAAACTCCAGTGTCCAAAATGTGCAAGTGGTGAGGGGTCTTTTTTGTGTGTGGATGCTGTTGGCATGAAGCGTTTGAGTGCAGTCGGGAAAGCACACACAACTATAGACGTCACTTGCACAACCTGTTAGACAACAACACTTAAGCAGCTGGCACTGAAGAAGTTGGTATTATTGTTAATGATGATGATAATTTAGTATTAATGGTTGCAATCATGAGTAGCTACTACTTCATCTCTGGCACGGTCATATACTCTCATTGTTTTTATATATTCTGTCTGCTACTTGTGTATTGTATTGTGTTGCACTGTTGGGACGAAAGTGAAAGTATCCTCGGCTCCTCTCACGTCAGATCCCTGAGATCAACGCCCTGAAGGGTCATTATATCTGAGCAGCGGATCCGAAAGCAGCGCAGCAACTCACGCACACACAAAAAAAACCTCACAAAAATGGGGAAAATCTACCAGGTCGTTGTGCACGGGCTGAGGGGGGAGAAGATGATGATCGACCTGTGCAACACGGATGAGCAGTTTAAGAGCATGACGGTGCTGCAGCTGAAGGGAAAGATAGCCGAGAGACTTCCGGAGACCGCAGGTAACTTAAGTGCACCTGTACGCTTCCTTTGAAGTTAGACAAACGTTTAGTCGACGAAGGAGCTTTTGCATTATGGTTTCGTGTTGTTTTTTTGGTCAGGAGATCTTAAGGAGTTAATGGTTTTTTTGGGGGAGGGGGGGGGGTTCTTCATCTTACAAAGCAAAGACTTAGTTCGCAGTGGTGAAAGTACAAAGTACTCTTGTTTACTAGAGGAAAAGTAGTACAGAAATCCTGCATTCAACATTTTTCATTGACAGCAAGATGTAGCCTATTAAAGTAAATTCATCATTATGCATGTACATATGAGCAGAATTGTAATGTTCTATTTTGTGAGAAATGTTGTGCTCCTATAGCCTACTGGCTGTACACCATAAAGTAGTATAAAGTAGCACCAAAACCACTCAATATACCTCAAAGTTGTATTTAATTATAATACTTGATTAAATTACATAGTTCCCACTGGTGATTTGATAATGTCGTCCAGATTAAAACCGGGATTCTTCCGAGAAGAAACAGATTCCTAGTGTTAGTTATAAGGCCAAGAATGTATATTTGAAGTTTACATAGAAAGGAAACTTGTATTTAAATGATATATCTGTTTGAATGTGGTTCTTTATGTTTAATTATGTCTCTCTATCTGTGTGTGTGTGTGTGTGTGTGCGTGTGTGTGTAGGAGAGGAGGCTCTGCGGCTGATCTTCACAGACAAGATACTGGATGGAAACAAGGTGCTGCTGTCTGAATTTGGGATCCAGCACATGTCCGTCATCCACATGGTGGTGAAGGTTCCTGGAGGACTGACCGCTTGACCGAGACCAACTACCCCCTGCTGACGTTTACACATTTTAAAAGCATCACTGTTTTATTGCAATGCTCCTTTTAATACTGCCATTTTTAAACAAATAAATGCTGCTGGTGTTCTACCAAATAAATAAAAGTTCTGCCTTAAGCCTCGTCTTTGATTAAGTGTGCAGATATTAAAGCCCACACTGAGGCCACATCAACAAGGCATCAAATACAGGCAGGAAGTCTCATATGATGAACAGGGTCCACCATGGGACAATGCAAGGGCTCTCGTGGCCTACAACAGAATAAGTGACATAAATAATCCCAAGCATAAAATCAGTTCTTTAAATTGTCTAATCGGTAAATTGAATAATTCAATACTATATTAGCAATAGGCTGCACATCTTTATGGCGGAATCTAAACGCATTTAACAAATATCAAAATTCACTACACACACGTGGTGTGCCTTTAAGGATTCCTTTATAAAGAAACATCTCCATGGATAACCATAGATGATCCACAGATAGTAAAGGTGCATCAGACAGAGCATATGCTGCGTTCATGTCCTCCCGTAAAGCAGAGAGAGAAGACAGAGGACAAGCTTTTTCGTAGCTTTCGATTTATTTTACTTTAATTTCCACAAAGAGCCTTTTGTGCAATATTGTTTAATTTCCTTGTCAGTCATGTGAACCGTCTCCTTAATGAAATGTATTTCCGACACACCCTGAATGCAGCATTTCATAGGTTTCTGACTAACGAAAGAGAAAGTATACACCGAGGGTTACTGGAAACAGAGACACTGCGCGTTCGTGTCAACGAACAGGAAAGTTGACCTACTATCGGGAATGTCTTGAAATTGTGAGTTTTAGAACTGAAGGTGAGCTCAAAGTGTTTCTGCATTTGTGTGTTTGTTTCCAAAACAGGTGCGATTGATTTATTGTCAACAAGTAATTGTCAACTCCTCTGCAGTCAACAGTGAAGCAGCGGACTGAGACAGTCGTTTAAAAGGAATCAAAATGGAGTTCTTGACCAATAGTCTACAGTCTATCTACAAAATGTTGCCCTCTCCAGGTAAGATGTACTGTACGACCTCTATAATGGTGTGAAGACAGTTATGCAATTTACAGTATTAACAATTTCCTCCCTGCAGCCAAAACGTACCATGGCTTGATGAACCAAGGGGCAACTTGTTACCTGAACAGTGTGCTGCAGGTGCTGTTCATGACCGAAGACTTCAGAGAAGCTGTGAAAAGGTTTGTCCAACTTCATCCCATGTAATGCATTTAAAACGTATCGAGGCAACAGCGCACCTTTTTATTGTGTCTTCATTTTGTGTAGGCACACCTGTGATAATCCTGGCACTGAGTTCATTGATCTTCACCTGAAATCCTTGTTTGATGATTTAGAACGATATGACACATACACCTATAAAATCACAAAGAAGCTATGCATCGATAACGGTACAGTATGTCAGAACAACAGATGACATAAAGGTCACATGGACTATAGTGTCAGAAAATAATCTCAGTATCTGCATCCTGTGCTCTAGAAGTGTTAACACTTCCTTTAATCCCCACATCCCCCTTTAATTATTTCAACTTAACTTGACCCTTTAATTTGTAAAAGAAATACACATTGATTTCTGCTCTTCCCCCTCAGTGTATGAACAACGTGATGCCACTGAGTGCTTTGAGAAGATTTTAGTTCTGACCAGTAGCGAGGCATCACAGGTAAAGACGACATCATCAACATCGAAGGGATTCTGTACTTCAAATGAAAAATACTTTGTTTACCAGTTGTGTGCTTTCAGATCTTCCACGGACAGTTGACACAAAAGACCACATGTTCTACATGTTCTCATGAGACTGACAACGACGGGCCGTTTTGGTATCTTACTCTTGCATTGCTGAATTCCTACAGGGGAGACTATAGCGTGGTAAGAAACTCACAACCTGACAACTTTTAAAGCATTTCTTTTCTTTTAGCAGATGATATCTAGTAAAGTAAATATGCTAGTTGCAGGAGAGCATGTTGTTCAGTAACGAGATATCAAAAACTCTCTTGAGAAGACATTTATGAACACGGCACACACATTAAATAGGGCTGGGCGATAATTCAATATGATGATTTGTCATCTTTCAACTGAATCATATCACGATAAAATAGTTTATTGCAATACAAAATGACGTGGTCTTAATTGATAATAAAGCACATACTAACTCAAATTTCTCAGAAAATCTGATCAAACTCAGCTAAATCAAACTATTTTCTTAATCAGACTGCTCAATATTTGTGAGCATGTGTGTAAACATAATGTATAGGTGGAAATATTTATTTTTTCTGTGTAATTTCACTTGAGTAGTGTTCATTTTGCCTTGTCGCTAATTTCACACGCAAGTGACATGAGTGCTTTTTATCAGGTGGATGGCATTGACGAGTATTTCAGAGCTTCACATTTCAGCGGAGAAAACCAGATGTACTGTGACGTGTGTGATGCCAAATCTGATGCTACTATGGTGAGTAATGAGAAAGCGTGTTTTAGTATTTGTTTACATTTGCACTGTGATTTTGCAACGACGGTATCAAAAGTTGATTATGTTATAAGAGTATTATAATATAAGATATTAATAAGTGTTGGGAACCCGTTTCTTTCAGAAATGTGTCATAAAGCATCATCCAGAGGTGTTGATGCTGCTGCTGAAGAGGTTTGAGTTTGACTACCGATACATGGCGTATGTCAAAAACAACTGCACTGTGGATGTTCCCCGCACCCTTCAGATACCAGAGGTGTGGCATATTTCACTATTTTATCATGAAACATTTCTTTTTCATTTCTGATCATATTTTCCTCTGGTGATCAGAATCAGACGTATGAACTGTACGCGGTTGTGGACCATTTTGGAGATCTGAGAAGTGGACATTACACTGCAAAAATCAAATCTCAGGACGATGACAGATGGTATGACTTCAATGATGTCAAGGTCGAATTGGTAAGACTGATCATTCGTTGTGTTATTGACAGTTATATATTGCATTGCAAAAAAAACAAAACAGATTCATCACGTTATGTTTGCTTATTATTTTCATCAACAGCTTGTTTGCCAGCCAAACTTTGAGAAGTAAGTTTCATTCCCACCATACATTTTTTGCCATTATTTCTTGATTGATTATGAATTTATTATTTTCATTTAGACTGAATACACCACATACGCATGTTGTATATTACACCATGCTGTGGCATTGGGTTCTAAAACCCAATCTTTAAAACGCTCCCACTTACCCCACAACCTCCACTGACTACGGTGCTGCAGAAAAGAAAATGACAAATAACCCTTTCTGCACGCTCACATGCATGCATACCTACATATTAGTGCATGTGAGCGTGCACAACAGACACTCACCTAACACAAGCCATACATCTAGCTGTATTTGAAAATGACCTCGCTCTCTTTTGCACATTTCTCCCGCTAGATCCAGCAGCGCTTATCTTCTTTTCTACAGGAAAAAGAAAGGTAAGATGGCAGACATTTTCATTATGTTACTGATGTGTTCAGTGTTCAGATTGCTTGGTACTGTGCCTGAATTTACTTTCTCCCTATTTTCCAGTGCATGCTGCTGATACTTGTACTCAGGACACCGGAGAGATGTCGTCTCCTGGAGGCTTCCCGCCTGCTACCAGTAGTATTTACAATGACCAGTGTCAAGATGCTGCAAAGAATGAACCTGCAGTAGCAATTTCTATACTCAGAAATGAAGAAACAGAAATTAAAGCCATAGTCTCTGTTGGGTCTGGAGGAGTGGGGCTAACATCTGACCTCTGCAAAGAGGATCAGGACAATGGAGGTTATTCCAGGCAGAGCAATCATCAGGTCTGTAAAGAGGACAGGAATGACTTGAGTTATGCAGAAAAACAAAGAGACAAGGATGAAATAATGATGGTTGATGAGGAAGACAAGAGAGGAAATGCACAGGCTGACAACCAGACAGAAAGGAGAGCAAGCTTATCTGGAGAAACTCAACTAGAAGAGCGTGTTGATGATCCGGATGATGTCACTGTCAGTGTCAGGAGACCACAGGAGGGTGAAGGAATGCGCAACACGAAGCGAAAACAGGAAGTCAGCAATATGCAACCTCAGCAGGTTTGTGTTGACATGCAGAAAGACGAGGAAAAAGTGGTAATGGGTGTAAATAGAGACACAGGTGGAAGGAAGGAGAGGAGAGCAATAGCTTCAACAAAATACCTAGACAGGGATGCAGAGCGTCGGGACGATGAAGGATTAGATCATGTCAAACAGTACATGTATGAAGATCAGGAAGGTACACAGGAAGTTAGTCAAGATGACTTCAAACCTGTTAGTGTGGACAAACAGGAGGATGTGGAGAGAATGGAAACAGATGATGAGGAAAGGAAAGCAGGGAAAGTAAAGCTCTTGACAAGATATGACCTCTACATTGATGGCATTCAAGGCAGTGGAGTTGGTAAGAAGAAACAGAACACGCCTAAAGATGATCAGAGGTCTAAACGAGGAAGTGGAAGCATGTTTTATCAAAGCCCTGAGCAACTGAGAGTGGAGGAGAGGGATGTGAAGGGAGACAAGCAACAGAAGAGAGGAGATGATGCGCATGCACAAAGGAAAAGAGCATCAGAGAGACAAGAACAGGATCAGAATAGGTCAGAGTGTGTTACAACACAGAGAGATGTTGATGCAGCGAAAAGAGCCAAAGCAGGTAATGAACATATTCAAAGAGCGGACTCTTCTCTTAGACAAGCAGGATTGGCAGGAAGCAGCAGAGTGACAGAGAACAGGGGAGATGGCAGTGTTGAAAAGTCTGAACCATCAAAAGCAAGAACTGGATTTAGTGAGGATGCAATGGAAGGAAGACGTAGTTCAAAGCAGTCAAAAACATACCGTGGAAAGATAATTGACGAAGAAATTATAAGAACCCATAGTGGTGTTCAAACAAGCACCGTGACAAAGAATATAAGAATAGTAACTGAAGAAGGAAGCTCTCAAGGCAGCCGTAAGAGTTTGGTAGAATATGATGAAGGTAATGCTGAAATAGAATCTGATCCAAAAACAGATGCAAAGGTCACATTGTCAAAGGGTGTTCACGATTTACGACTGGATCACCCTTTGCTGAAGCCAAAGAAACGCAGAAAAGAGCAGAATGAGACAAAGAGCACAGTTCATTCAAATGCCAGAAAAATGCAAAATGTGTCTGATGAACATGAACAAGCGGTTGGGAAAAAACATGCAGTGAAAGAAAGAGGTGAGAAGAAAAGACACTTGTGGCGTCGCTCTTCCCCTCTGAAGCAAAGCAGAAAGGGCAATAAGACTAGTGGGTGTTTTTCTTTTTTTTGTAAAAGCCGGAAAACTGCAGACCTGACTTCAGAGTCAGATTAAAAGGAAATACATACTTTGTCCAGTTAAAACAAAAAATATTATTTTAAAAGACTGCATGTCATTGTGGTGAATTGTTGTTTTTTTTATTGATACTTGGCAGTATTGCACTCTACTTGCTCAATCAGCAATCGGGCACTACATGCAGTGCTGTAATAATGTGTATGTTTTAGTTTGAGTGTCTGCTGGTAGCAATATTTTGTTTGTTCATTCTGGTTAAGTCTATTTAACAGTGTGAAATAAAATAGTGTTGAAGATTTATTGCATCAATAGAAAGTAATGCTTTGGGAATTGACTTAAAAAAGATTTAAATTCAAGGAAAAACAAGATCACTTGTGTTCGAATCATGTGAAATCACATTCACGGATTGAATGATCAAACCTTTGTTTGTCGTTTATTGCTACACTATTGACTTTTTGCATTTTATTTTGAAAAGCTTTCTGTTAAGTTGTTGAGAGATATATAAATATATATAATTTTCTAATAATATCTAATTTGAATCTCACACGAAATTGTGTGAGGAAGTATGAAGTCAAATGGAAGTCTTTGTATAGATATTTTATTTGTGTTATTTTATGTATCAGTGTTTCCTGATTTTACTGTTAAATAATATTTTTAATTAATTAGGCGTTTTGCACACTGCTCTAGTAAACTGTTGCTGCACTGCCCACTGACTAATGACATAGATGCTTAATATTTGATGTTTATTACTTTGAACCAAACTATTGTAGTCATTTGTGTCATTTGTTGGATTCTGATGGTGATTTAAAGAAAATATATGTACAATAAAATAAAACAGAGAAAGTGAAATACATGCACACACACTGTTTTTGTGGAAAGTCCTACAACAGACGCTGAAGTAAAGTAACAGTAGTCAAATTAAAAGAAAGAAGTGTGTATGCTTTAAATATGTTGGATATTGCATTGGATAATATGTTAATATAATATGTTACTGTGAGACTGTTCAGGATTAATAGTCATGTTGTTTCTTTGGTTTAACCTCCCCTGAGTTCATATCATGTTCATGTTTAAAGAACACTTTGTACCAGGAAATATATCTTTGAGACTATCTGAAAGGATCGAGCAACAAGCCTCCACCCCTGCCCTAAATGAAGCAGTCATGAAAAAAACAGACTGTTATATCACTGACATTTGAGTTTCACTTTCAGTCTGTTGCATATTTACAAGAATTCAAATGAAATGTGGACAGACAGGTTTGGTTTCCCCCTTAAGTTGCTTCTCATTTAATTTTAAAAGGGCAGGATAAAGAACAACATTTCAAATTTGTATTATAGTAGACCAGAGTTACACTGCACAGTATCTTAATAATCAGAAACAAACGTGTACACCAAACATGAGCGAAGCGCGTTGCGTACGGCCAGGAGAATTGACTCTTCACGCTTCCCGTAGAATGTTTTTTTCTTCTCAAAGATGGCTGCCATCAGGAGCGGGGTGACTCCGGGTTGCCTAACAAGATGTTTCCTGAGACAAACTGGAAAACCGAGCCGAGGCAACCATCCACTTTCAGACATTTGGAACCACGTATGTCTTATTCACGGTATCATATCTGTTAACTTTATCCCTGTTTCTGGAACAAAGACACAAACTACGACTTTCAACGGCTAACTCGCTAGCCGGCTAGCATCGTCGCTGCATGCCTTCTGTGTGACTTTGACAGTGTCAGGCACTCTGGTGAAGACCGAGTCCTTGGGTCTAATGTAACTGTTAAATCGCCAGGTTTTAAAACAAGAACAGCATGGGCAGTATAGCTAGAATCCCTGGAATACGTGCTAAAGACCACCAGGAGTTTATTGCCTTAAATAAAGTGTGCATGTGTGTGGTTGTGCAGGCTAGCAGGGCTCTGTTAGCAGCTGCTAGCTTTGTCAACAACTACCACAACATGTATCCAAAAGTAAAGATACTGGGGCTGTTGCTCTACTATTAGCTTAGCTATGGTTAATGGTTTAAAGCTACACCTGCTATGCTGTTGTTTAGTCTAAACCTAGCTGCCTTGTCCTGTAGGAATCTCCTAAATGCCACCAGAGGTGAATGTTTAGCTATATTAGACCTGCTGCACACCTGTTTTTTCTGATGTCTAGGTTAGAAAGTTCAGGTAAATGGTAGATTTCTCCAGCTCAGATAATTTAGGTGTTGTAGTTTTGACAGTAATTTAGGGTAAGCTGTAATTATTGATGCTGTTATTATTGTCAGGGCCAAATGTTGCACGATATGATTTACGTCTGCATTTAAAGTATTGTGTAATTAAAATCTCGTTTTATGACAGCCAAAAGTGCAACCAGCCCATAGATGATAAAACACATACTGTATATTGGTCAGGTTTCTTAATTCTCCTCCCAGCAGTTCTCATTTTGTTGGCTGAAGTGGAAAATCTAAAATCTTCATTTCCCTCATTACCGTTTACAATAAACACATGGCATTATTATTGTTTGATTTGATCATTTTGACAGCTCAAACAGGTTTAGGGCTGTGACGCGTGTCATCGGATTGTAGTTTATTCTGTTTGTATATCTGGCCGTGTTGACACTTTGTCCCTCTGGTTCACACACACAGCGGTTGCTCCAGAAGTCCCATCTGCACACAGCTTTTGAGTGTCGCAGTCCTGCCACCAGGACTCTGCTGGGCCGCAGACAGCATGGGAAGTTCCTCTGGGTGACCGCTCTGGCAGTCAGGCACAACAGCTCACAGGTCAGTTGGAACACCGGTGAATAGTCTAATGACAAAAGCTGCTGTTGAGAAGCATCAGTGAACGGCACTTCTCTAAGGTCATGTGAATTGGTGAACGGTTTTTATTTTGCGAAAGAGTTTTCCCTTTTGAGCATAAAACTGCCAAAAATAAAAACAAATCTCTATATTGATCATGGTTTCGGCTACCATGAAACCTGCCTCACCTGATTTGTCAAAACATTATGTGTTCTTTTTATTCATCAGTACTGCTCTTGAACACAGCTGCTTCTTCAATTGGACAGCTGCCTCTCACATTAAACACTAGAGTGATGGTGAGAAAAATGTGGCTCCACCAACACATTTTGTAATGAAATGTTGACGATATGACTAGTATCATAATTGCACATCTTTTATTTATATGTAGTAAATGTCTGTTTGCACTCAAAAGTGTTGTTTTGTGATGTTGTTTCTTGATATTTGTAACCAGTTTCTGTCCGGTCTTTTTTTTTTTTAGGGTTACATTTTATTTTGAAAATATATATTTTTTTCTTGCACTAGGGCCTTCAGTTAGTTCTATAGTTTGTATAGTTTTTGCAATTGTTCTGTGTTTTTATATTAAAATCTATCAAATTAAACTGAATTGTGTTCTGGTCAGAATGTGAGATGTTTTGATGCGTTGAATCTTTGCTGTTGAACAACTGTTTGATTAAATTGTTACACCTTTACTATAACCAGATCCCACCTGAGGATGGAACCAGAGCGGGTCCGGTCCTGGACTCCTCCCCCGTCTCTCTGCCCGCTAACCTTACTACCCCCGTCATTGCACAACCCATCACTGAACAGGTGGAGCCCTCACCTGAAGTAAAAGCATCGATCTAAGACCTTTTAATTACCTTCTAACTTGAATGTTTCCATTTTCATCAATATTTTCAGATCACAGTTGAAACCCTTTCCATGGCAGCACCGTTAGTGGACATCTCTCCTCCCGTCTTGAATTCCTCCCCGGAGCTTTTGTCCGCTGACCCCGCCGCTGTTTTATCGCAGCCGTTCTTTGAGCAGGTGGCTGACGCGGCGCCGACTGCTATGGAGGTCTTTCAGGCCGCGGCTACAGAAACCAGTTTAGCGGAGCTGGGACTGGGCGCCTACACACCAGTGGGGCTGATCCAGAACATGTTAGAGTTCATGCACGTGGATCTTGGTTTGCCCTGGTGGGGGGCCATTGTTGTCGGTAAGCAACACTGACTATCAATCAATCATTCAGGCATTCTGGGGGAAGTAGTCAAGGCAGGTTATATCCCTGTCTTCTGTATTTCCTGTGTCATCTCTGATCCTTTTCTACCTGTTTCCATTAATCTCTCATAAAGGAACGGTGTTGGCTCGTATGGCTGTGTTTCCGGTCATAGTGAAGGGCCAGAGGGAGGCCGCCAAGCTGAACAATGTTCTGCCCGAGATGACCAAACTCACTTCCAGGATGAACGAGGCCAAACAGAGTGGAAACAAATTTGATTGTAAAATTTCTCTCTTCTTTCTTAATTGCATTTCTCTTTCCAGTCACAATTTAGATGTGTGTGTGTATGTGTGTGTGTGTGTGTGTGTGTGTGTGTGTGTGTGTGTGTGTGTGTTGCATCAACTTGTCATGAGCTGCTGTTTGCATGTTACAGTTGCCAGAGCTTACTCTGACCTGAACCTGTTCCAGAAGAAGCATGACGTAAATCCTCTCCGTGGCTTCTTAATTCCTGTGGTGCAGGTCAGTTTATTTCTTTATTCTGGTTTCCCTGTTATGTTGTACTGGGCTAAACCGAATTATACACCTGAACTTTCTATTAACACGTATCTAAGCTATCAAAGCAGGACACATTTTCATGTCTAATAACTGCCTTACAGTACTATCACCTGCCGTAAATAACAAAAATATATATGTATCTGTATTCTCGCTCTTAAAGACGGAATAATAGCAAATATAAACATAACCTTTGAATGGTCAACCTATAATACACTATTCAAAATATGTATACAATGTTGTATGAACTTAAATAATATAGGAACAGATATCACGTGTGATAACAACATTAAAAATGTACCAAATACAAATATGTGCCTCCTAAGTAGTACTTAGCAGCTGTTTTTCACAGTTTGTCTTATATATCCGTCTGTTCCTCCAGGCACCAGTCTTCATCTCTTTCTTCATCGCGCTGAGGAAGATGGCGTATCTGCCGGTGCCCAGCCTGCAGACAGGAGGCCTGCTCTGGTTCACAGACCTGACGGCAGCAGATCCTTTTTATATCCTGCCGTTGGTCGTCACTGGAACCATGTTCTTCATCCTGGAGGTGGGCCAGCTTTCACCTGACCACAGTAGCTGTAGAATCAACCCTGTTAATCTGCATAATGTTTAATTGCTTTTTCAACGCCAGCCAGGAATAAACACACTATCACTTCACTGAGTTTTTGATGGTGTTATGATCTTGTTTTAAACTGTTTAATGTATTTTTTCGTAATAATCACCACATTGTCGCTCCGTCTCTTTGTAGTTGGGTGCAGAGTCTGGTATCGACAACCCCAACCTGCGAGCCATGAAGACTGTGTTCAGGATCATGCCTTTAGTCATCCTCCCCCTCACCATCAACTTCCCCACGGTCAGTCTGTCACTCACAACAGTTTCTCTTCTAGTGGGTTAACCTCAACTCAATTCACAAAGAACGGATTGCAGCCGCTGATAGCACCGTGAATTGCGCATCATTGTGGCTCTTAGTGCTGATCTGTGTGAATTGGATTCTTTTTGGAATGAGACTCGTTTGCATAGAAAGGGGCCAATTTTGCAGCAAACGTCTGCATATTACCTCATTTAAATACGCGCAAATAGCTCAGGAGCACTGCAGTGAGGGGTGCATTTCTCTTTTTATTTTTGTCTAGGCGGTGTTTACCTACTGGCTGACCTCCAACTGCTTCTCCTTGGCTCAAGTCGCCCTGCTCAGACACCCCTTGGTCAGAGATAAGTTGAAGATCCCCGAGAGGATCAAACACCCGGCCTCCGGCCTGCCCCAAAGTGACGGCCTAATCGAAAGCATGAAGAAGGGTTGGTGTCTAAACTTGCATTGAATAGATTGGCTCTTAAGGACATGTGATGGATTGTGTTTTTAGTAGAAATATTAAACTATTTCTGTCTTTGTACACGTTGTGACTGTGGTTTGGTCTCCAGGCTGGAAAAACGCTCAGCTGGCCCAACAGCTGGAAGAGAGGGAACGAAGAATCAAAAATCATCTTGATCTCGCTGCTAAAGGTCAGTCCCACCACTACTTCACCAGCATCATCTGATATTAACTATATCTATGTATTCAAAGGTTTCTCATTGATACTGAGCTACTGGAATCTAAAAAACAACCTGTTTGATTAGAAACTACAAGAAACAAATGTCCTACTTATTCAAAAGGTTATTATTGACTGAAGAAAGTTAACGAATACAGAAGGATAGTGTACAGTGTACTTGGTGATGTCTTGATGTAAAATGGTACAGGGGCTCCCCCTTGTGGACACAGCCAGTTATTGCAATAGTAAGACATGAAATATATTTGTAAAAAACAGAGTATTAAGAGACCGATAGCCGGCTAATAGTGTGAAAAAAGTAATAATGCTGAAACAAACATTCATAACATGTTTCTTCAGACTAGACCTCATAATAATTAGTCAATTAATCAATTAGTCATTTCTCGTTACCGTTAACATAATTGTCTCTGTGCTGTCCAGGCTTTGACCCTCTGGAACTGAATGTTTGTGTCCTCTCTTTATTTCTCTCTGCAGGTCCACTGAGGCAGACTTTTACCCACAATCCCCTCCAGCAGAACTCGCCCATGGCTGCAGCATCATCTAAAGACAAGCAGACTAGTGGCAAGGCGAGGCCATGGAAGGACACGATTGGATAAATCCGACTGATAGCTTGACAATATAATGATTTATGTACATATTTATGGATGGAAGAGAGGACAGGGATTGTCATTATGTATTATTCTAATTAAAATGTCAAATCTGCATCAAAACTACCGCTTTGGTGTTGTGATTTCTGAGTACACAATGTATTGATTCACTTCCCAGTAAACGTCCTTGAAGCAGAAAGAAAGAACTGAGTACATTTACGTTGTCAATAAGTCATTTTATTATAAATGCATGTTTTCAGCTTAACCATCCAACAGTGTTTCACATTTCACAGCCCGTGTTTGAGTCGGACGCTGCTGCAAAAAGTCAATTAGTGTAAAAATAGCCCTTCACTAGACTGTATAAAACTGTTTATGAACTCTTCCCTCCACATTAGTGAACGTGGGAACATATTATAAAATAAAGTTTCTTATATTCTAATCTCTGACACTGCCTGATTTTCTATGTGAAAATAATAATAAGGCTGTTTCTATGGTCAGCAATTCTTTCAGTTTCGAAGCTGCACTTAAACAATTTAACCAGAATAATAATTTACTACCTTCCAGTAAAATCAAAAAAGGTGTTACACGTATGTAATCTCACACAAAATACTTGTCTTGATATACCAATTAAATAATTTCTCTACTAATACGTACAGTTCTGTGATAGAAAGAGGCGTTGACTTCTTCAGGAGTGCATTAAAAATGTCCTCTGAAGTCTCAGTCGGCTAGAGTGAAGTCTCGCCAACAAGCGCCCGGGCGCCATCATTCATACATTCATTAACATGATCACCATCAGAGAGCTGGGTCCAGCTCAAGCCCAAATGTTACGACCAGCGAGGCCTCGCTGCTGCTGTGGCGGAGGCGGCTGGCTGCGACGGGTGCAGGTGCACGGTGTTGAAACCAAACATCTACTCTGACTTGTCCATTTCAGTCACAACAGAGTAGCACACCTTCTGAATCAGCACGCCGGCTTTAGCTGAAAGAGATGGAGACGGGAGAAAGGTTAAGTTCATCTATTATTAGACTGAAACCTAATTGAATTGCAGTTGACGTCATGAGTTTTGGGTCCATGCAAAGTACTTTGCAGCTGTGATATCTGGTTGAGAAAAAGTACAGAATAGCCCTTTCCAACCTTGACAGGAGAGGAAGGTGGGAAAAGTGAGGAGACAGATGAGACGCACCTTTGAGCTGGGGGAAGGGGGAGACTAATGAAGACAGCATGGAGGAGAACAGAAAGAGGAGAGAGAGTGACTAAAGGTGGAGATAACTGAAAGCTTTAAAAAAGACAAACAGTGTCGCGCATCAAAGTAAACAGAGTGGCGGCAGTTCCCAGAACCGGCTGGATTTTCTGGACTTCTGTGAGCGCCGATAGCCGGAGCAAGTTTGGATGAATCTTGTTCAACTGTCTCTGAGACCTGATGTGTCCTGTTCTTTGTTGGACCTACACAAGTTAAGATAAGTCTCGTTTCCTTTTCTCCTGCCTCAGGTTCATAATGTGCATTAACCCTCATCTTCAACCCTCAACTGCCCTTTACCCTCTCATTGCCTCCTTGGACATTATAGCCCACCACAAAAACAAACGCTTTATTTAAATATTTAGGTAATTTGAGTTTGAGATATGTTGTAATATTCAAAAGCGATGAGCGAATCCTGCAGCTTCATCTTACCAATGAGGCTCCGTAGCCGCTGTGGCCTCTTATTGGCCGGAGTGTAGACGCAGAGGAAGTAGACGGGCACTCCCGACAGGGCGATGCCGATGCCGATCAGGGAGTTGACGGTGTCACTGTAGAGCGGCACCACCACCAGGAAGACCGAGAGCACACAGAAAACGATGGGGAAGAAGATGCTGAGCTGAGGAAGGAAGAGGTGAGATGACGGTCAAGTACTGTAAGCAAGGAAACATTAGTGTGCAAGTCTGTAAACGTTGTGTTCATAGCCCCTTTCAAAAGCTATCTCTGGTTCTGCTTCTTACCTTGAGTGGCCTCTTTCTGTCCGGCTGCTTCCAGCGCAGATACAGTTGCCCCAAAATGGACAGACCCACAAAGAACCAGTAGCTGAAGCTGTAGTAGTTGATCAGCCTGAAGACGTCCTCTACACACAGGTATATCAGAGCCATGAGGCCCTGCAGAGGCAGACAAGAAACATTGTAAGTCAGAATGCAAAATGTGGGGAAGGCTCTCTTAAAGATGCAACAGTGGGATTAAATTAAACTGACGTTGAAGAGCAGGGCGGGTACGGGGGTGTAGCGGTGGACGTGGATCATGCACAGGGAGTCGGGCAGGTGGCCCTCTCTGGAGCCCACGAAGAACAACCTTTTAAGAGACACAGAAATATGCAACAGAAGGGGTGATGAGTGATGGGCAGGGTGCTGATAACGCAGGGACGAAGTAAAAAAAACTAAAAAAATAGTCACTGACCTGGAGGAAGCCAGGATGGAGGCGTTGAGTCCTCCGAAGCAGGAAAGAGCCACAGCCAAGGGAATGGTCCAGTTCATGACACCAAACACCTGGTCTGCAAACGTCTGGAGAGAGAGAGAGAGAGAGAGAGAGAGAGAGGATGTGTGAGGCTTGATGAATGAAGACCCAAAGTGAAGTCGGTTATTGAGGATTACATATGCACCTACCACAGCCACAGCATCACTGTCCAAGATGGCGTTCATGGGGAGGATGGCGTAGTAGGCCACGTTGGTCAGGATGTAGATCACGGTGACGATGGGCATGGAGATAGCGATGGCCAGTGGCAGATTCCTGTAGTTCACGCGAACAAACAGCAGAGGGAAGCAAAAGAGATGAGATGCGAAGGCTTTAATGCGTGAAGTGTGTGAGATTCAGTCTGTGGGGTCGAGAGCAGATCGACCCCGTGGTTGAGGGGAGGATGGGGGAGGATGGGGATTGTGATAAATTGGGGGGTGTTTGTCACTTAATCTGCCTGGGAACTCCGGGAGAGGCTTGTGATCCAATCACATGTGTAGTCTTGCTTCATTTGATCAATGCTGTGGGAATCACACCAAGAGGCTCAGACGTACTCTCAATTAGGATGGGATTGTTTCTAATTGACTGACATTTCAGGAAGTAAATGCCACAAGTGTTGATCAAATCACACCAGAACTGGCAACCCGTACCCTGCAGCGTTATGTTTTATAATTGCACCGGAATGAAAGCATTTCCTTTTGGAATTCATGGGAATAAATCACACGAGATTAACTGCAACAAGTGTATTATCCTCACCTCTCTGGGTTCTTGATCTCCTCTGTGACAAAATTGAGGGTGTCCCATCCCGAGTAGGAGAACAGAGCAGAGTACAGAGCCAGAGCAATGTGTCCCGGATCCTGAGATGAGCCTTCAAACATCCCATCAAAGTTCTGTGTGTGACCTGGAAAACACCAACGTAACCATTTCATTTGAAGCAACAAATATCACCATAAACTCATCATTTATACCTCGTGTGTTGTGTATAAAAGTCAGCTTTTTTTTAGCTTCTACGCATTAGCTTTGGTATTGTTAAATCTTTAAGATATTGTGGGTGTTCTGGTTAGTGACCTTGTCCCATCTTCACCAGGCCAGTGATGATGACGGCGATCAGAGCGATGACTTTGGCGTAGGTGAAGAAGTCCTGGACCCTGGTGCCCCACTTTACATAGGCACAGTTCACAAAGGTCAGCAAACCTGAGGTAAATGGAAGCAACCAAAGCATATATATATATATATATATATATATTACTCACACACACAAACAAATCCTTTAACAGTGCCAGTGGGGGACATTTGCTCTGTACACCGAGTGTGTGCCAGCATGTTTCTGTGTGAGAGTATGGCTGATTTAAGGAAACGCTGCTGCTGACTCAAGCAGACTGGCCTGTTATTTTTCAGTTGAGGAAACAGCTGAGTGCAGCACATACAACATCACCCGCACACGCACACACACACACAACTGCACAAGAGTACAGTCTTAGTACAGTTTGTAAAGCTTCAAAGGATTGATCTGACGACGTTGTATATTTCTGTTCAAGGTTGGTGATTTGTGACTGTTTCTACTTATTGACCAGTGACTTATAAAAAAAGTGCTCCCAACTGTGACTTTTTCTTTATTGCCGTCCTTCACTTAGAGCAGCGTTGACATTCTTGGGAAACATGTTTTTGTGCTTCTTTCTGTGATTTATCTCTCTTTGGCCTCTTATCAGCAAATGAGCCCTTCAGGTCCATAACTGTGGCACGTTTGTTCTTTTTTGAATGAAGGACCGCCTTGACATAAACGTATTTCCTCTTGTGTAAATCCTCTTGACTCCACAAGTCTCGAAAGCACTGATAATACAAACTCACCTACAAACCTGCTGAGTGGACGTATTTTTTATCTACAAGTTCACCGCGTCAAAGCGCTCCCGCTCTCTTATCGCTCCACAGTGACCCTCCATCCACCAGATGTTTAAAGAAGAGACCGAAGCGGGATTACATCACCGACGTCTCCTCCACGTTGACCGCCGTCATCCGCAGTGAGGGGACGAATCATAACAACTATCGTCTTCCACCACTTTGACAGGTGGAGGGTCATAACAGGTCCGTTCCCAACAGGAGGCCCGGTCAAGCACAGCGAAACACACAGCCCCGGACAGCGGTGACCGGTGATGAGCGATGGAGACGGAGGCCTCGCCACACAGAAGTAGAGGCGTGGTGTGTTGACAGTGAAAGGTTAGAAGGGTGGGAGGTGTGAGATCGGGTTTGGGAGGCCGGCTGACTGGTAGTGGAGGTCAAATATGGTCCAGATGTGAAGTGAAATGGAGATCTTTAAAAACTCACCCAGTTGCTCACTAACTGTGAACTCACGTTTTTGTGAAAGTTGAGCCAAATCTGCTTTTCTGATACGTTGCAATGCATTATGGTCCTTTGCAGTGACTACCTTACATAGTGAGCAAGAGGGTCCAAAGATGTGACGTAAACATCTGGAGTTACCATTTTAAAATAAGTGAGTCTAGATTATGAGATAGTACACAAGGTTGAAGTCAGAATTATTACACATTTAGTAAATATAATTTGATTTAATATGAGATTGTAAAAAGTTGATATAAATCAACATTTTTACTTAGCTTTGTTAAAACTTTGACTATCCTATAATATTTTTATTGGTGTTGAGGTCAGAGTCTCACTGCAGGACTTTAACTCACTACTATCAGCCTCTCGTCTTGAGCTCTGCTTATCAGTGCATGGCACAAGTGTGCTCATGCATGCACGGGTGGGAGGATGAATGAATGAATGAAATTTATTGCAAACTAGCACAGTGTGTATTTGTTTATCTTGAACATCAAGGCTTGTCTGTATGAGATAACCTTCTTCTCTCAGTTGCCCGAGCTTTGGTATTCATCTCTTTGTGCTCGGTTGCCTCGGTGAGCGGTTTCGTGAATTTCTTATTAGTTTGATTAATTCAGTTTGTCAGCTTTGCTCTTTCCCGGTACCATTGTGTTCTAGTTACCTCGGCAATCTGTGCTGGGTTTATCTCGCCTTCTAAGAACAGTTTGTTACTGTTCCCATAACGACGCCAAAAAAGTCGTGACTCAGGTCGTCACGTGCGAGACATCATGCCGGGGTTTCTAAATCTGAGATTGAGTAAAATGGCTTTTCCCCTTACTCTTCCATAATGTGGTGCACAAGTTTTAGGGTTCGCTCAGTTCCTCTTCTTTCTGCCACAGACCTGCTGACTGCAGCAGTGGTGTCGCCATTTTTCACTTCTCTAGTCTATAAAGCTCACATGCTCTCTTTTAGATGGGGAAGCTTACAGTGGCACACATCGTCATTGTCTCTATGTCACTCGAACACTTACTCAGCTTTTATTCTTTTCTTACTCATTCTCACACACACACACACACACACACACACACACACACACACACACACAC